ATTTTATTCTTTTGTATTGTATTTGATCAAAAGTCTCTGATGTGACCAAGCTTTGCTTCAATATTTTTTCCTACACCCGTTTAGGTCTGTGATTATGAAACAGCTTACCTTGCTGCTGTGTACAGCTATGAGAGAAGAAGATACAGATGGTGTTGAACCATTTGTACAACAAAAATATAAAACTCATCGGCTAGCTCCAGCGTTTTTGTATTTGGGACGCCCTGCATCCATCGGCCCAGTGTCAGATTTAGCCGACATTTAAAGCTATTTTTCATGTTAAAAAATAAAATTTGTTTTAGCTCCCCTCTCCCCGCTGAATAAAAATCATATCCACAGCTTAAAGCGGCCCCTGCTATGCATTGCCATAGGGATAAGGAGTTCAGGTTATGCTGTCTTTAAGCAGTCTGGCAGTTTAATACATGTGAATAAACACTCAGGAGCCTACCAAGGCATCCGATTGCACAGGACTGAATTTAGCAATTCTATAATAAATGGAGCTACACACTTCTTTTCATTATCATTTAAAAACTATGCATGTTTACCATCTATTTCACAATTATGAGGTACTTAGAGTTGGTCTATAGCAGTGTGACAAATCTAGAAGAGTTAAAGGGGTATTACCACTTTTGCAAAGCAATCTAAGCCAAGTAACAAAGAGCTGAGTAAAAACCTTTTAGCTTTCAGATTTTAGGCAACTTATGTTACATTTATGAAGCACTGTGCACTTCTGTCAACAAACACACAATTGTTATTTTATGAAAATAAATTATTGATGACTTCATGCTGAACAAAAAAAAAAAAACAAAAAAAAACAAAAAAACAAAAAAATCACATTAATCATTTACAGTAAAGGGTAGGCAAAATGTTTGAGTGAGTTTTATTTATACCATGAAATATCCCAAATGGATTTAAAATATTTGCAACTACAATAGCAAAAGGAAAGGGTGGTTTTATAAAGTCTTAAAAAACAATTGCTTTGCTTTTTAGCCTTTAGATTCTAGTGGATTATTTTAGTTTTTAACATCAGTGATCTACCAAACTCTGGGATCAGTAGTTTTAGGATGCAGTCATATTTTAGCATGTTTCACACTAAATGAATATATATATAAAGCAATTTCCATTATACCAGGGGTCTGCAACCTGCGGCTCCAGAGCCACATATGGCTCTTTGGACCCTCTCCAGCGTCTCTTAATAGTGGCTAAAATGTATATAAAGAGCTAAATCATTTACTATAATATATACCGGTATCAATAGCTTTAGCTTTTTTTTATAAGATGGAAAAGAAATGAGATTAAAAGAACCAGAAATATGTTTTAAGAGACATTTTTCTATGAATTAGCTTGAAAATGATAGGTTTTAACATTAAAAATATATGAATTGATTGTTTGAGATGGCAACAACTAATTTCCTATACAAGATAAAAAAAAAAAAAAGGTTTTCTAGAAAAAGTCATGGTATATTTTGCGGCTCTAAACAACTTTTATTTGGTAGTACTCTGGGCAAAACGGCTCTTTGGATATGAAAGGTTGCAGACCCCTGCATTATACCAATAGAAAACAAGATAAGAAACAGAAAATAACTAATGCATAACAATTATAACAGTTCTGAATGCTGAATTATCATTTATCTCACAGTGCCAATGTATCCCTTTTACTTGAACTTCTTTCCTAAAAAACGGTCTTTACGGAGAAGATTGCAAAGAGGAAACCATCTTTGTAAGAAAATTAGAAGTAGAAATCTGGGATTGTAGAATAAGGATTTCTAGTAGAATAAGGTCTAAATTAATTAATTACATTAGGAATATAATTGTGATCTAATTTAATTTTCCAATAGCAGATTTTGGTCACATTCTAGATCCAATAATGGATTTTGTATCAGCAAGCCTTCAAGGTCATGAAAACAATGAGAACCCGGAGTAACAAATGCATAAATAAATGCTTATGGTTAGTGCAGAGGATAAATCACAATGTTGGTTAAAATAATTAATTTCAGTTTAGATTTTTCGTGAAATTGTTCAGCCCTATTCAAATATTATTTATTTTTCCCCTTTGTAAAACTATCTGTTTATTGGAAAAAACTAAAAGTACTCCTCATAATGAAATAAAGCTTTGACAGCATAATGCTGAATGTAGACCTTTCTTCAGCAGAGAAAGGAACACTGGCCAGATCTCCCCGTAGGGACAGGAAGGCTGGATACAAATTCACTCCACACTATTAAGCTTTGAATTGGTAAAAATAAAGATTTTTTTACTTCCATTATAGCACAATGTTGCCCTGCATTCTGTTGGTCTATCACATTAAAATAACAATAAAAGAAATAAAGATTGTAGTTGTAAAGAGACAAAATGTGAAGCAGTTACAAGGGCCATAAAAAGACGTGTCTTTTTTATAGCCTAATTTAGAAAGATGATGATATTATAAAATACAAGAACCACAGCTCCCACTTATAATATTTTAACATTAAAGATTAAATTTGTAAGGAAGTTCAGTAATGGAGACCTCACAAACAAAATAGATCACAATCACAGATTCTGTTGAAAATAATCCCAGGTTTTTTCTTCTTTGTAGTTTGAAACCAACATAATACCCAAGCCATGATACACACCCTGATAATCTGTTACCATCAAGTCATTGTTCCTGATGAAAAGGTAGGAACAACACAATAAACAATAAGGGTTCTACTTTTAAACCCTACACCAATTGCAATACAAAAACAACCAAGTTGATTATACAGGTATGTGCATTATATTTCAATCTTTTTACCTCACTAAACATCTCATAGATTAGCGTTTAAAAGTTGTCCTTATTTTATTCATTTTGGGGATTTTGTTTTGTGATTCATCTAAAATGTTTCAGATATTCTGATGATAACAGGCTTTGGGTTTCCAACAGAAAGGCCCATGTTTTTGCAGTGGAGGAACCTGTCTGCCCAGTAGGAGAGGTTACCTTAGCACATCTGCAGCTTATGTGACAACCAACAGAAAGATGCACATTAGAGCACGTGCTCTCTTGAGCTGTGATGCGTTCTGGGTTCCCTTAACGATCCCTCAACGCATCACTGCACACACATATTTTGTCACATGGCACATTAACACAGCCTCAGTGAGAAAAAACAACAAAAAAAACATGTGTAGTTATTATACAATTATGTCGATGTGTAACTACAAAATCCTTTTAGAATCTTGCAAATTACTTTACCGATCCTAAATCAAAAGATTAAGCTGAACTAAGCATCTAGCGGTGTTAATACTTTATCTTCTGACCAGATGCAGTGAGGTAGACTGCTGAGCAAGGAACACGTACCTATGTGAATTATACTGCTGAAGGCAACAGAAATGGGAGATAGATCAAAAACTTTCAAGCTTACATAGAGTTTCCAGATGCAGCTATTTTTAGAAAAATTTGTTTATGGTTTCATTCATAAATAGTCAGTGTGGAGCATAAGAAAGAGCTAAAGCATTTAAAGCGTGGAATACACAATAAATGTAGTATGTTAAAATGTAGTAAAAGTTTAGTTATTTTTAGTTTTTTGGTAAAAAAAAAATAAATAAAATCAAGCTGAGACTTGAAGGGCACAGCTCTAAAAATTGAGATCTGAAAAGGCAGAAAGAGTCGGTAAAGTTTGGTCTCATGTAACAGGCTCTTCATATTTTTTTAATACGATTCCAAACCTTGAATTTTCTGCCGCGTGTCTTCCCCTGTTCACTCTCTGCCCATTATTTTCTAATACCTGTAAGTTAAATCCTTTTCCAATCACAATATTACAAAAATCTGCTCTAATCCGTCCTATGAACATGGATATGATGCATACTTAGATTTAAAACTTTAGTTTTATGTGTGCAGATCTCTTGCTACCACTTTTACTTAAAAAAAACCTTTACTGAATCTAATAAAAAGACACTATCTTTATCTAAACAGTTGCATTTTGGGGTACAAAAGCAATGATCAGTGCATTTCTAGTTGTGAATATTCTGTGTTAAAGGTTTCAATATTTACATCCCACCAACATAAGTGTTACATACCTAGATTTCCTATCAGCACTGACCACCTATACCCTCTTTTTATTTAATTCAGTTCAGTTTATTTATATAGCGCCAATTTACAACACATGTAATTTCAAGGCACCTTACAGTTCACCAGGTCATACAGTCAAATTGATTCAAAGTTTTCCATCTAAGGAAAACCAGTTGATTGCATCGATTCATTGACTCGGATGCAATCCCTCACACGAAGCATGCTTGTAGCGACAGTGGAGAGGAAAAACTCCTTTTTAACAGGTAGAAACCTCCAGCAGAACCAGGCTCAGTGTGAGCGGCCATCTGCCGAAGCCGACTTGGGTTCAAGGTGGCAGAAGCTTTAGGCCTGTTAAGTTCAATTAAGGTCTCATCTGACAAGGGTACCTTAGCGGTATCAGAGTATTGGGGGGGTTGTATACCAATGCCAGTTACATTTTGCTTAATTTTAATTGCAAACAATAAAAATAATAATTTTGGATCAACTTCATCAGTATAGACCACCACTGGTTTATATAAAGTATATTGAAAATTGTATGGCAAAGAGTTTCAGAGCATTAAACATGTTTTCAGGGACACAAACCCATCATTTATTGCATGAATTAAAATGAAGAATAAATAAACCAATGTCCTCCACACGTTTCCTTTTAAGCTCATTCATTTGACTTTGACAGTGGGGTGATTGATTCCCTGACAAAGACACTATTCAGCCAGTCCTGTCCCTGTATTGATTGTTTGAATCTAGTTCCTTTAGGCCCATTAAGTAGCTTTTACAATGGGAATGGTAGGGAAGCTTTTAGTGACATAATAATTGTAACATGTATAACTGTGCGAGGGTATAAATCAATTATACTGTGGCCAGAAGGGAAATAATGCCCTTTATCAGGGTGTTCGATTTTTTTCCCCACTGATTTTGTAATGATAATTTTTTTAATGAACTTTCACCGTTTCTAGCAGCTTATTACACGGTTCTAAGTATTTCTTACCGGTGGTGTGATCCACTGGGCCAACGCCGTCCAGCAGCAGGGGGTTCAGGTGAGGGTGCGTCGCCTCCAGAGCCTCGCAAAGCTCCGCGAAGCAGTCCCTGTCCTTGCTCATCAGGATCTTTAGAAGAAGGTCCACTTTCTCGGAGCCGGAGACGCATTGGTGTCCCAACTCCAGCAGCTCCGGCTGACTCAGGGCCCCACGGTGAGCCAGGACGTCCACAACTCGGTCCGCGTCCGTTATGGACTCCACCAAGTTCTGGTAGCATTTCTCCAACAACTCTTTATGCTGGAGCTCCATCTTCCCCTCCTCCTACTCCTCCTTCTCCCAGCCCGAAGTCTCTCTCAGTGTTCAAACAAGCCGCTGAAAACTGCTCCGTATAACCCAGTCGGGACGGTTTTCAACCCGAAAAGAAGGATACACAAGTAGAAGCCATATTTGTTGCCTGAGGCTATTGACTGAGCAAAGATGACAACACATTTTCTTTTTCTCCCAGTCCGACGCCCGCCGCTCCGTCCTTCTCGAGGGAAAAAAATAAATAAAAAACAACTCCTCGCTACTTCAAACTGGCCCCTGGTGTGTTACGGGGGAAAACTCAGCCGGAATTGTAGCTCTTTAAGCATTTTGAAAACTGTAAAAACTGACTACAAACTCCGCCATGTCTCACCGTGGAAGTAACCGCAGCGAGTCTGCAGCCAATCAAAATTCTGAGTCATGGACATTTAAGGTAAAAGTGGGCGGAGCTTTATTCTTAACAACACCTGGTTTCCCCGCCTCTCTAATCACAGATATTACAGTAAAACCAAACTTGTTGTACGGAAGACGATTAGGGCCACTGAAAATTTTTTTAATAAGTTAACTGATTTTTAAATATTGTTTCAGTTATATGGGAAAAATTCATAATTCTGAATTTAATCTCAGAATTTTGGATCTTAATGTAGATGATCAGATTTAGGTGACTTTTTACTTGTCGGAGAGATCCCCGATGATGCTATTTCATTAATGGAGGAGCAGAAGGTGATTAGTTATATGAGAAAAAAAGAGTCAGAATTCTGATTTTAATCTCAGAATTCTGACTTTTTTCTCACAATTCTGATTTTACTCTAAGAATTCTGACTTTTTTCTCAGAACTCTGATTTTAATCTCAGAATTCTGACTTTAATCTCAGAATTCTGACTTTTTTCTCAGAATTCTGACTTTAATCTCAGAATTTTGGATCTTAATGTAGATGGGCAGATTTAGGCGACCTTTTATGTTTCCGAGGGGTCCCCGGTGACGCTATTTCATTAATGGAAGAGCAGAAGGTGATTAAAACAAAAGAGCTATCTTAGTCTCTAAAATAGACATGGCTTGTAACATGTTTTTTTAGCAGCCAGAATTCTGAGATTAAAGTCAAAATTGTGAGAAAAAAGTCAGAATTTTTAGATTAAAGTCAGATTTCTGAGAAAAAAAAGTCTGATTTCTGATATTAAAGTCAGAATTGTGAGAAAAAAATTTAGAATTCTGAGATTAATGTCAGAATTATGAGAAAAAAGTCAGAATTTTGAGGCTGAAATAAAATTTTAAAATCAGTAAACTTTTTTAATTTTTCGAGTGGACATAATCCTTTTGCGTACAGATGAAACATTTTCATCACAATATTTGGTTGTTGTTGTTATAACAAGAAAAGTAATGATAAAACAGCATTTTTCTCGTCTTTTTTCATCCAACTGCATACAGTTGGATGAAAAAAGACGAGGAAAATGTTTGTCCCTTAATATTGCTGCAGATGTTTTAGTTAAATCAAAAAAACTAATGAAAATCAATATTGATGATTAAAAAAAATGGAGCTCATTATATTTTGAAAAAAATTAAGATCTCTTTAGATGTTTGAAACACTCTAGAAAATCTGAAAAATGTGGAGTTCATCTTTATTCACCCCCTATGAGTCAATACCTTGATTCAAGCCTGTACTGACAAATGTTCCACATCTGGAGACTAAAATGATTTCAAATTCTACTTTTCAAACTATTTTAAGCTTATTTAGATTGTGCAGAGAAAACTGTGAGCAACACAGTTCAGGTTGTGCCACAGATTCTGACAAGGATTTATATCTGAGTTTATAGTATGACATTCATTCACATGACTATGCTCTGATCTTGCTGTATGTTTATTGTTGTTCTCCTTTTTAAAGGAATGCAGTTGAAAACATTTTGCAGCATCAATTGCAGATTTTCTTCCAGGATTGGACTGTAGCTCTAAACACCTTCCCTACCACTGCTAAGAAAACACATAGCATGTTGCTGCCACTACCATGTTTTCTCATAGGGTGGAGTGTAAAGGGCAATGTGCAGCAAGTTTTTTTAAGCCAAAAAGAGACATTCTATATATCTAACCAGATAAGCTTTATATAATTATTATATAAGTAAATTTAATTCAAATGAACTAACTTAATTCAAAATAACTACTTAATGGGAAATTTTAGTATTTAAATCTGTATTTCACAATTAATTAGTTTATCTATTATTTGAATAATGTATTAGTTGAATAAATAAATGTTACATCTACGTATTTTACACTAAATTTATTCCATACAAGATATATTTATGCACTCTATATACCTCATATTAAAATTATTGTTAAAACTATCTTGCAACCCTGCAGGGTCTAGACTCCGAATTTGGGAACCCCTCCTCTATTTTATATTCATACAAACAGATGTACAATGAAGTTTGTGGCTATAAATTGACAAAGAGTAAAAAAAGATTAAAAGATATAAATACAACAGAACATAATGTATGTGAGATTGGAACAATGACTGATATATGTAATCTTTATTTCTAGGCAGCTTCACTGCATAGTACTTATAAGGATTAGGAGTCGCATTTGTTGCTAGGTCAAATAGGTCCTGGCTTTAGAGCTTACCATAGAGCACAGTGTTCCTGTACATTTAAGTTTGAAACACTTTCAACAATGTTACATAACCTCTCTAATAATTTGCTCTTCCCGCCGGGGAAATCCATTTGATTCTCACCAAGCAAGTTAGTTAGAGTGTTCAGGAGTTATGTGTATTCCCCAAAGCATCTAATCAGCATGTGAGGTTACAGTAAAAAAACATCAATGAATACATTTGGTGCTATTTTGCTTCCCCGCAGTTGATTTGCACTTCTCTGATATGTGCATTCATTTTCATATATCTGCATATCCACTTTTTCATTTTGACATGGCTGCATATGCACTTTATCCCTGTGTTTCACCTAATATTAGAAAGGCTGAAGCATTCAGCATTTGCCACCCCATCTCATTATTTGTTCGTTGTCCATCTAATCCTTGGGTTTTGTAATTTGCTTATATGCACTCATATAGTTTAAAGCAGGATTAGGCCACTGGCAACCAAATGTCACTTGGTTGTACAGCCCTCATTGGACAGCTGGAGCAAATCCACTGCGAATCAACAATTCAGCCAATACTTACTCCTGCTCTTAGTGATTGTCTAAAGTGCAGTGATTGCATTAGTGACTGGATACTAAAACCACAAAAAGATGCATATGAGTTTAGTTTTCCATCACTGACATCATGTCTGGTGTGTTGGTGAGTAACATTTAGTGGTTGATTTTGTTACAAAAAATAAATCTTGCCTTAATAAAGCAGAAAGATGCTATCTTTATAGATTGCATTTTCTGAAAATGAGTCAAAATGTCTTAAATTAAGTGTATTTACCCTTAATTTGAGTTGGAAAAAATAAGGTGATCTCCCAGTGGAATAAGCATTTTTACCATTGAAATAAAATAATTATATAATATGCAATTGAAATAAGTGACTGCAGTTGCTTTTTCTAATTTTAAATCTAAATTGACATCTTCCATAGGCAAAGTGTCTCACTTGTCTGCTCAATTAAAAAAAAAATCACTTTTTTTTCAGAAAAAAGGACTTACTTAGATGCACATTTTTTTTTATATATAGCACCCTACAGATGTATTAACACTTTCTTTACAAAAATCTATAAAAGTCTTAGAACATATGTATATTTTATTAGCATATGTTAGTTAAAAAATAGCATTTTAATTTTTTTTCAGCAAAAGGAAACATTTTAAGACATTATACTTGTGTTAGAGTTTTTTATTCAAAATGAATTTGCATGATTAAAATACATTTTTTATTCACATTTGACCTAAAAGGTCAGGAGGTTTAAGAGCAGGTTCATGGGAATTTTGACCATTCCTCCAGAAGCACTTTAGTGATGTCATAGACTGATGTTGGATGTGAAAGCACAGCTCTCAGTCTCCTCTCTGATTAATCACAAATGTGTTGTATAGCTCTGAGACCAGGACTCTGATGTGCAGGTCGGTCAAAGCATTTCACACCTGCTTAGTCATATTAAATTCTTCTCGGGGAAATTAAATTGTCCAAAATCTGTTAGAAAATTAAAGTATACCAATTCTAAACTCAGCTTTTGAAAAACAACCCCATAACATAACATAAAAATGGGTTACCTCTACTGTCTCTGTGCATCGCCATCCATTTCCCAGATTATTTTTTTTAAACCAACAAGAAGAGGTCTGCTGGGAGGAAAGAATGCAGAAGAAGGAACATCATCATTCTATGTTGCTGGATTCTCTGAAAGACTCAGGAGGATTTTCAACCAGCACCAGATCCCTGTGTACTTGAATCCCTGCAACACCCTGAGACAAAAAGCTGGTTCACCCAAAGGTAAGACACCCAGAAATAAGGCAGACAACATGGCTTATGCCGTTCAGTGTAATGATGAGGACACAGACCTTTACATTGCGGAGACCAAGAAACCGCTACACAAATGCATGGCTCAGCACAGGACGGCCAACTCCTCAGGACAAGACTCAGCTTGAAGGTTAAACAACATTCATTTGAGGACAACAAGGTCTATATTCTCGTCAAGGAAGACAGATGGTTTGAGCGAGGGGTTAAGGAAGCCATCTTTATTAACCTGGAGAAACCATCTCTCAAAGTGTTCTAAGACATAACCTGTCCCCTACTTACAAAGCACTTACAATACCCAGAAGATTCACCTGTCACCGGCCCTCACCTCACACTTCAATGAGGCATATGACCAAAACCACTCAGACAAGGGAGCTAACAACCCATCAGAACCACCTAATGACCATTAACACCCCAGGTCTCCTCCATGGCCAATCCCCATAATTTCTAAATTCCTCATACTCTTTGTACATTAATGTCAGTGCTCACTACCACTAGTTAGAACTGAAGAAGCATCTTGGATGAGAAGCGAAATGTCTTCTTGATAACTTCCTTGTCCAGTTGCCTAAAATGAACCTTTCAAGCTTGACCTGGATGACCAAGAATCTTCACAGGCATCCATTTCCCTCACTGTTAGTATACAGCTGAGTTTTCACTCTGAATCTCTCCCACTTTTATATCTCTGCTAAAATATGTAGAGCTGCTCCGACTGACCCATTCTTTCACAATTGCTTTCAGATTTAAAACACCTATGGCCATAGATCTGATTGGAGCACCTACAATGTCATCTTTTGGATGGGTGAGCCAAAACATTTCGAAAAATATTTTGTGTGTTTACCAGGGGTGCCAAAAGGTGACTTTGGCAGTGTATCCCTATTTGGATGTTTCCCTTGATCGCACATTTTAAGAATGTCTAGAAATCAGGATCAGCCAGGGGTGCAGCCTTATAAAATAAAAAGCAACCTCCTAAAAGCTTCT